GCTAATTTTGTCACTGTTTTGGAGCACACTGCCTTATAGATAACCTTAAGACTAACATATTGATACTAACACATCAAAAACTTTAATTTTGATTTCATGGGGACTTTAAAGAAAGTACATTTCAAACGCTCACCATTGTAACAATCTATATGTTGACCTTGCAAAAACACAACACGCAAAACAGTCACATTAACGAAATTTGTCTATTGTTAGTAGTGCATGAAGCACAGCTCACAGAAATCACTTTCAAACAAAGACTCAAAAAACAAAACAAAAAACTACAAAACCAAGCAGCTTTCTGTGAACAATTTGAACCCGTTGCGAAATCTGCGTGGGAAAATCTTTCGCATTAGAACGAAGTTCCCGCTCACCTGGATTCGTGTAAAATGACTGGATTTCGTCTGTGAAAATGCACCAGATATTCATAAATGTGACCACATTTAAGAAATAAAACAGCATAATTAGTACAGCACTAAGGTCAAATTAAACTTAAATAATTATGAAAAGTCTGAAAAATTTACTGGTTGCAATTACAATTAATAGGAACCGGAGCTTTTTTAAACTCAAAAAAGGATGCAAACGCACCAGAATGATATCATAAAAGTGAGTTGCATGCTATATTCAAAGTCTTCAAAGCATGTACAATATTTGTGGTTTTAAATTACCAAAAAGAAACAAAAATGGCTATTCAAACAAATCACCAACTTGCACTATACTGCTTTTAATGGTGATGTTCATTGGAAAAATAGAGGACAATATAACTGTAAAAAGCATTGACAGCTTGAGACCCATTTTCAAATATGTCAGATAATAATAAAAGTAAAGGTCTAGAGACTGTAGAGATGCAGCATGCAAGAGATTTAGATGATACAAGTCAGTCTGGAGGTTGTATCCACCAAAAGATGAGCCTTGCCTTAAAACAAAACGCCCAAAATATCGGCCTGCATTATGATACAAAGTGTTATTTAAGTGGCAAAGACATGAGAACTCAAATGATCCTTAAATTACCTAGAGTAAGCCAAGTGGCCCATTACCAATGCTGAGCACTGATATCACATTTACAATTTCAGACTATGAGAAGATGAAGACAAGGAAAGGGAGATAAAGTGGACAGCACAGGAAACAACAGGTGCATTTAGTGAAAGTACTTTTTTTGTTACTTTTGCATGACATTTTTTCATTCCACACAACACTGAACAAGGCCATGGAGCATCAGCAGAATGAATGAAGCATCTCTCCATCTCCATTCTCAGTGCTAGAATAACTTGCATAAGATTAAAGATGTTAGTATTTCAAGAGAAGCTAACTTAAAAAAGAAGCCTATATGCCAAAAAAAAGAAAAAGAAACATAATTTAACATATATTTTTCATGTGAAGGATTATTTTCTAATCCTGTAAGAATGATGAACAACTTGATAGATTACAGCTAATCAGGAGCCCCAGCAGTTAATTCGCATTCTCCCACTGAAATCTCCAAAGAAGAATAATATTAATGGACATACGGCAGGTACAAATGGCATTGCAAGGTGACCTCTCCTCATTAACTGATACGTGCTTTCTCTGATCAGTCTTAGTGTTTCACCGCAGGACAGCCAGAGTGAGACCAGATCACCTCATCACACTTCAGATGACTGCTTGGTGGACAAGTGTTTAGCTAGCATGTAAATTTCATTCGCAGGAGGTGACCTGCTCACTGGACTGGTTGAATGAGCAGGTGAGGCCGTAGACTAGGAGTTATATATATTAAGCATGGTTCACTTTGGAAACAGCAACGTCTCGTGTCGATATCGGGCCAGAATTCCCTCCACCAGATTCTCACTCCCAGTTCTCCCAGTCCTCATCTTCCAACTGGTAAAAAAAATGAAATAATGAAAACTGAATTTATTACTGCTATTGTCACTCCTCTCGGGTGATCAGATCACAAATGGACAGTGCAAAATCTGAAACGTTTTGTGATCAATTCACTCAAAATAGAATTGGAGGTGGTCAGTGGTCGGTGTAAAAATATGGTTTTGAAATAACACTCAATATTAAAGGGGTCATATGATGCGATTTCAATTTTTCCTTTCTTTTTGGAGTGTTACAAGCTCTTGGTGCATAAAGAAGATCTGTAAAGTTGCAAAGACTAAAGTCTCAAATCCAAAGAGATATTCTTTATAAAAGTTCAGAGTCAACCACGCCTACCTAAAACGGCTCGTTCTAACACGCCCCCACATGTCTATGTCACGATGTGGGAAGATTTGCATAACGCCGCCCAAATGTTCACGCAAAGAAATAAGGCGTAACTTTTATTCTCGCTGTAGTATTGTTGTTGCCGCCGCCGCCGTGTCATGAAGGTGCTGTGTTTCGTTGTGAAAGCAAAACTACTTTGGTTGGCCTTCCAAAACAGGACGATATCCGCTTCGTCATGCCT